CACTGATCACTCTTTAAATGGTACCTATAGGTATATCAAGCCTTAACTTCCCTTCTAAGTGTCTGATAACATTCATATAGTCTAAGCGAGTACATAGCACTAGAGCATTAGAACTGATCCTTCTCCAACACCAAAGGAGGCCTTAGATTTAGGGCATGAAAGAGGAAAAAGAGGCAGCATAGGGACAGTGGGAGGTAGGGTAAATTTTAGGGTATAAGTGATTCTAGGATTTGTATAACTTCTTGTGGTTTAACACAAGTGTGGGGAGGAAGAACCTTTCTTCTACCTTTTAATTATCAGACCTCTATCTGTTTATCTACTAATTAAATCTATGGAAGAAAGATCAGCAAGAGACCAAATTTATTTACATACATGTATGGTAATCCTACACACAGGAGCGGTTGAGAGACAAAAAGGGAAAGTGAAGTAGACATGGCATTCTGAGTCCAGGATGCAGTCAGGCACCCTGGAGCTCCAGAGAGAGGAGGTCATTTGTAGGACAGATGTTCAGTAATTAGAAGTGTGCCCAGCCCTATGAACAGATCATAAAAGGTTATTATGGTCAAGGCCCCAAATTAAATTATTTAAGGAAGAAGTAAAAATTTCTCGTGAGCCTGAAGGGTTTCAATTGCCTCCATCCTAACATAATTCACATACCACAGTGGCACACCTTGGGGAGTTCTGTTCTGAACCCTTCAGTAGTAACTTTTTTGCACCTACTAACAGATTTAGCACAGACATACTCTCATTTATTTATTCATATAAAAGTTCTCAAGTTTAAGGTACATTTACATATTTAAACTAATATTCTGAAAGCACTGATAATCATACTGGTCCCTATTTCATAATTTCATCTATAAGATGCTTTTGTAAAATACCCTAATCATTATTAAAATAAAGTATATGAAGCTCTGCTTCACAGAAATGTCTGAAATATTCATTTTAAAAAAGTTATTAAAAAAAGATGCTAACCTATTCTTGGATACAAGAGACAAGATGGTTTTGTTTTGCCATAAAATTCTTTAAAATTTTTTTTCTTGGCAGTGAAGCTTGAAATATTAGATAATAAATAACAACATTGGGAGACTACATGAGGGATATATAAATGTACCACACTGGAAAAAGTATCCAAGATGACGAAAATCACTCCTTTAAGTCATATTTAGATACAAAGAACATGCACAACTGGAAATAGGAATGTGATTAACTACAGCTGTGGGTTCAAAAGATAGCCCACTCAAAAGCAACATTTTATAGGAATAGTCATTCCGACTTTCTCCAGAAAGTAGCTGACATATTGTTTTGACATTGTCATGATATCAATCATTCTGAAAAACAACACATTAGGACAAGCATGTCAAACTCGTGGCCCATGGGCCACATGCAACCCACAATGAATATTTTTGTGGCCCAGCCAATATAATTGTATGTAAGAAATGTTTTAATAAATTTAAATAAATTAAAAAAATAAACTTCATAACTTAATTTTTACAATATCCAGTTATACATAATTACTAATAATGTTCGCTAATGACTAATTACTATAATCATGCTACATTCATTTCCCTTACCTGCCTTATGCACAGGTTCACCATTTCTCTCCACTAGTACTAGCAGCGAATATTTTAGCAGCCAATTGCCATATCAATAGTCTTGGACTAACTTATTTGGTGTAACAGGAAATATTTCACATTTGAAGAAGAAAAAATGGGTTTACTTGCATTATGCTTATTAATTTGGGCAGTTATTCAGTGTCTGGTAAGTTAATATTCAAGAAAAAATATTAATTTTTATTAAAATGTTCTATTATTTTATGTTAATGATTATTAATTTTTTCAGCCCTTTGATTCAGCATGTCTCTATCGAAATAAACCTACATTTCTATAAAAATTGAAACTTTTGTTTCTTTGGCCTATGTTAGCCTTTGAGTTTGACATTTGCATTAGGAACATCAAAGTAACCATATATGAAATTTACATTTTCTAATGTTTGTGATAAAAATTGTTTTAAAGAAACAAGTTTAAAAATGTTTTATGGAATTTCAGAATCCTTTCTTACTTACTATATCCTCTATTTATGTTCGATTTCAATTTCTTTGTCTTTGTCCCATGATTTTCTTTGGGCGGAAGGGAAGGCTGAGTGGACAATGGTATGAATCCTACCTCAAAGCCTAGGTGTGACTGTTGAACCTCAGGGAAGGCAGGGAAGGGTGGGCAGGAAGAGATCAACCAATGCACGTGTATGCATATATGCATAACCCATGGACACAGACAATGGGATGGTGAGGGTCTATGGGTGAGAGAGGGCAGGAGTGGGCTGGAAGTGGTTAATGGGGGGAAAAGGAGGACCTATGTAATACTTTCAACAATAAAGATTTTAAAAAAAAAGACTAGGTGTAACATACAAGAAAGCACTAGGCTGGGGACACCCAGGTTATCATCCCGATTTTGTCATTTAACAGCTTTGTGATACTGAAGGAGTCTAAATTCTTTAAACTGCTCTTGACTGTAAAATTGAAAAGAAAAGAAAACTGGACTAGAGAATTTATAGCATTCCTTCCAGCTCTAATTTCTAACAGCCTTTCTTTTCTAAATTGAATAATCTCCCAACACAAAGCTTTGTTGGTGTGTCAGAACATCCTGGGACTTGGACTTGCTGACTTTTGATCTGATAGTAGATGGCCTGCAGACAAATCAACAATGTAATTGGGAGTAGATAATAAAATGGCTGGATCTACGAATGGAGAGAGGACTGAAAAGGAAAAACATCCCTCTTTAACATGACCCTAACAGTGGTCAGCAAACTCATTAGTCAACAGAGCTAAATATCAACAGTACAACAATTGAAATTTCTTTTGAGAGCCAAATTTTTAAAACTTTAACTTCTTCTAATGCCACTTCTTCAAAACAGACTCACCCAGGCTGCGGCATTTTGTGGAAGAGCCACACTCAAGGGACCAAAGAGCCTCATGTGGCTCGCCAGCCGCAGTTTCCCAACCACAGTCTTAACACAGAGGTATGAATCTGGAAAAGAGGTCAATTCACTGAACTAGAAGGAATTGACTATGTATGCAGAAACTGTCAAAAATTGCAGATCTCTGTGCCATTGCTGCTCATATGCATAAATTAGTCACTTTTCACGCTAATTACTCAGGATAGAAGTCCTGCTAAATTATACTGATTCCTAGCTACTGGCTTAGTAACCAAGAATTCACACAGGCCCTAATGCAATGATAAAGATAGGATTTCTGAAGATATTTACTACACATTGCTCCATAAAAAAAAAAAAACACCTCACCCTAGGATATGTTTTTTTTTTAGTTGATTTTAGAGATAGAAGTGGGGAGACAGGAAAACTGATGTGAGAAACATCAACTGGTTACCTCCCATACACACGCTGACCAGGGATCAAACCAAAACCTTTTTGGTGCTCAGGACGACACTCCAACCAACTGAGCCACGTGGCCAGGGCTGTTACCTTTAATTAAAGTAACTTTTACTTTTATAATTTTCTAAGTATTTTCACATACTTTCTATGTCAGTATCAGAACTTGAAAAGGCAGGAAGGACAGGCATTACCATGTCCAGATTATAGATGAAGAATTTTAGATGACACTCAGAAAGATTAAGCTTTACTATAAAATCAGACGTTTGTAAATGACGGAGCTGAGGTCAGGCCCCGGTCTGCTGACTACTAGCCCAGTGCTCTCCTGAGAACGCCATCTTTTCATCTTACAGCGCATAATGCTGGGCATAGGGACTGTGCACATGGAAGTGTACGTTATATCATCACTATGAAAAAAACAAACAAACTAATTGTGATGTTCTTACTCAAACCTCCTGATTGACTTAAAGCTGACTTCTAGCTTCTGAGATGTGGAAATGTTAAGGAATAATGAAAGGTCCATACAAATGTACTGATAGCTCTAAACAAAAATTATTTTCACAAATAGGAAATGATTACCAGCAATACCTTGACCTCAGCACACTCACAGAGCAATCACAGAAATGTTCATCTTCTTCTTTTTCTTTTTTTTTTTTAAACATATTTTGATTTTTTTTTTTACAGAGAGGAAGAGAGAGGGTTAGAGTTAGAAACATCGATGAGAAAGAAACATTGATCAGCTGCCTCTTGCACACACACAACCCCCCCCTCACCCCCCCTGGGGATGTGCCCATAACCAAGGTACATGCCCTTGACCGGAATCAACCCAGGACCTTTCAGTCCGCAGACCGACGCTCTATCCACTGAGCCAAACCGGTTTCGGCTCAGTTCATCTTCTGACTTTTAGAATATTAAGCCTGCTTATGGTTTCTTTTTTCTTTTAAGAAACTCATTAGATATATTCAAAATGGTCCTCTACAAGACTGTTTAAATGTAAATGTACCAGAATTTTGCTGTGTTCCAAAAATGTACAATTCTAAATTATTAGTCAATTATCAGTCATCCGTTTTTTATTTAACATTTCTTTTTCGAGAAAGAAATTCTCTTTTCTGGTTACTAAAGTGATTTAAAAAAATATGGATTATACCAACATTAAGATTGTTCATCTTTTTTTCTTTAAGATTATATTTTTCAGATTTTGAGATCAAGCACTAATCTAAAATTTTTACATTTAAACATATAAGGTTACCTTTCCAATTAAGATATTTTTGCCTTTTTTCGTTAAAATAAATACGTTGCCTACATATCTAAAGAGCATTGATTAGGCTGGTTTTATTACAAGAGGGAATGAGTTTAGAAAAATCTTACCCATCTAGCTCAGCTGGCATGGCTTAGTGGTTGAGCGTGGACCTGTGAACTAGGATGTCATGGTTTGATTCCCAGTCAGGGCACATGCCCGGGTTGCGGGCTTGATCTCTAAGTGTGGGGTGGGATGTGCAGGAGGCAGCTGATCAAGCATACTCTCTCATCATTGATGTCTCTCTGTCTGTCTGTCTGTCTCTCTCCTTCCTTTCTGAAATCAATAAAATAAATGTTTTTATATATATAAAGAGAAAAACATTACCCATCTTTAATTTGGACAGATATGGCATTATTTAAATAACTTTTCCACAGATGACAGGAATGTCACTTCAAACTCCTGATCAGAGAACCTGCTTACAGATGCACGAGCATTCTTTCTGATTTGGAGTCTCTTTTCCTCAGACATGGAAAGAATATGAGCCATAGTCTTAGCGTAGCCTTCTTCACTTTCAGCCAGAAATCCAGTTACTTCCCCTTCATAAGGAATGACAATGTCAAGCTTCGGGCCTCCTGAATTGTGTGCAAGGATAATTGTGCCAGCTGCCATACACTCAACAACTCCTGAGGAAAAAACAAAAGCATGTAGTTTAAGTTTTTGAACATGTTCATATGAACAAGAATGAAAAGAAACCTTAAAAATTTGTATGAAACTTATGAAAAATTTACATATCTGTATGTCTATAAATGTGCTCATTTAACTTTCATGGTACAAAATAAATTAATTTTAAGGTTTTTAATTTTCAAACCTTCACAATAATGCTGCTTTGTTCTTAATTAAAACAGACAAGTAGATGGAAGGATGGTCTATATAAAAGTTATGGTGTGGATAATGAAACAAAGTAGAAAACCAGAGAAAGTTAGCAGGATGGTAGATAATCAATGGTTATGGAAATATAAAATAAGTGAAAAGTTATCAAAAGCAAAATATAACAGTTCAAATTACAGCAGTAGGAGAAAATAAGAAAAAAAAGTAAGCCATCTCAGTGAGTCATACTATTACTGATACTTAAGTTATTGCCTGGATTTCCGGCAAATTTGAAACTACTATGTGCCCAAAAGCAGTGAAACAAATGGAAATTTTGGTTAGTTTCTGTCAAATAATGTAGGTGAGGTTATAAGTTACTCTAGCCAGCATATCTTAACTGTGTTTCTAAAGAGAAGCAAGCCCTTCAGAAAGTGAGTTAGTTGACTGCAGAATCTAGAAGCATAGGAAATTAAATCATTTCTTTTCTAGAAGCACAGGATATTCTAGAAGTGATATTCTAGAAGCACAGGAAAGAAATGAAATCATTTACAACTGTTTCTTCAAAATGGTAAAATCTCTATGAACAGAATTTCCTCTGATCATAGAGATTTGAATTCTTATTTGAAAAATATGGATTATATTATAATATTGCTTTCAAGGCTGGATACCATTCCTCTATACTTTCTCGGAGAGCTCAAATCCAATCAATTTTATTCCTCTCACTCCAAGATTTTCCCTCTTCACGTCATGAATCCTCCTCTTGCTCTTCTTTCATTTCCCTTTCACACATCAACTTCTGAAAAGTATGGTTTGCACTTACTATTTCACTTGCTCACCTACATTCAATGCTCAACTTACCACAATTAAACTCTTGCTTCTCCTTTACTAGTAAACTGCTCTTGACCAGGTCACCAGTCACTTATCTGGCCCAGCATCTGGGAAGCATGGAAATTTGCTGCCCTTCCTCTTCCTCTCCAAACACTCTATCCCCTTGATTTCCATGAAGCTGCATCATACTGGTTTTCTTCCTCCCTCTATTTCTTCTCTTTTGCCCACTTCTGAGCTGTTGCTATTCTCAGCAGTTTATACCACGGGCCTCTACATACTTTCTGAAGGCAATCGTATCCACATCCAAGGGGCCTGCAGTAACTACCTGGACAACAACAATCTGCATTCCCAAATCAGGTCCCTCTCCTGGACTTCAGACTCATATGTATAAATGCTTGTTGGATGCACACATGTACAGTGGAACTTCATTTCTTAAACTTAGTTCATTCCAGAAGGCTGTTCAAGAAATTATTTGTTTGAAAATGGAATCATTTTTTTCTCCATTAGAAATAATGTAAATTGAACTAATCAATTCCAAACCCCCAAATGATTCCCTGTTTCTACTTTTCTTATATGCAGTACCTGTCTAATATACTGTTTAGTTTATAAATAAACACTTTTCTTAAATTTATCAAACCACTCCCTATGAGCCTTAAAGGAATTTTTCATATATCACTTTTAGGTCTGATCAAATAATTGAATCAACACTCCCTCCTCTGGGAACTGACCTTTAGACCATTTCACAACATTCCCTTTGGCTTAGTCTACATTCCACTTGCTAAGACCATTAACCTTCCCTTCTGGACCATCCTAGGATCTGGACCAGCCCAGAGAATTCTCCACTCAGAAAGTCTGTCTAGAGTCCTTGTCCTTTAAAATACTTGACTCCCTGTCCCTGGGTGCTGACGCCATTTTGGTATCCAGATGACCAATACTCATAATCCCACCACTTTGGCCTCATGCATTCCTCCTTTGGGGACCCTAAAATCACTGCCTTCAAAATGCTATCACCAGGTAACTGCTTTTCCTTTATCCAAAACAACAGAATTTTTTCTATCTATTCAGTTACCTGGGATTACTGTTTAGAGAACACATTCACACCTTAGCAATATTAGCACTCTGCACGCCCCCTACTGGGGATTGAGCCTGCAACCCAGGCAGGTGCCAAGACCAGGAATTGAACTAAGGACCTCTTGGGACACTCAATCACTAAGCAACTCCAGCTGGGCATATTAGCACTCTTCTTTATATTTAAAATTGTGCTAATTGGCCCAGTGGTTGAGCATTGACCTATGAACCAGGAGGTCACAGTTCAATTCCCCTGTAAAGGCACACGCCCAGTTGCTTGTGGCTTGATCCCCAGAAGGGGGTGTGCAGAAAGCAGCCAGTCAATGGTTCTCTCTCATCACTGATGTTTCTCTCTCTCTCCCTGTTCCTTCTCTTTAAAATCAGTAAGTGTATTAAAAAAAACCCCAAAACTGTGCTCATCACCAGCAACAAAAGCACCCTCTTCTTTGCTGGTCTGCTGAGATGCTTTTTGTCATGTGTGAAAGGGTTGTCAGGTTCAAAACGGAAGTTTTGGGAGAAAATCGAGACATTTTTTTTCTGTGAACAACTTGGTTGAGAATGGAACTGTTCAAGATGGGAGACGTTTGAGAAATGAAATTTGACTGTACATGTCCTTCAGACATTTGAACTCCACGTGCTAGAACCTGGCTCATTAATGACCTCTCTCTCCTCTTGTATCCCCTAAGTAAAAGGCATCACCATTCACAGTTATCCAAACTTCTCTTTGCCTTTCATTTAATACATCCAACTAATCATCAAATCCTGTTCAATCCTTCTTCAGAATCTCGCTGGCATGTTCACCTACCAGGTTCACAATGCCAACATCTGTCATCCAGGTTGCTGCAGCAGCAACTTCCTGCCTTTCTAGTCTTGTTCTTCCTATTTCTCACCCAACCAATCCATTCTTCATATTGTTGCCACAGTGAACTTTAGGAAACAGAATGCTTTTAAATCCAATACTTAAAATCTTTCTACCTTTTCCCACTGGCTTAATATGGCCATGTGATCTGGCCACAGGCCACTCCTCCATTGTCTTGCTGCTCCTCCATCATGCTCCAGCCATACTGAGCCCTGTTCCTGCATGTGCCTGCTAATGCTCCTTTTGTGATGCCTGCCACCATGTTGTACCTACCCTTCTCCTGCTGGCTCTTTTGCATGGTTAGCTTCTAATTACTGACAGGTCCCAGTTTAAATATCACATTGTTTCCTGGGCCACTGTTCCCTGACCCACAAGTCTGTGATAGGTGTTTCTCTTAGGTTCTTTTATATTCTACACTTGCCTAAGCATAGCACTCAGCACACTGTGCAATTAATGATGACTGTTTAATGATGTCTGTATCACTCACAGAGCTGTGAGCCTCTGAAGTTTAAGAGCAGTTCGTATATGACATCATTCCCATCACCCACCCTGGCACAGTAAATGCTCAATAAACATCTGTGGAAGGAAGCACGGGAAGTCCAACTCCATGCAGAAAGTTTGGAGCAGCAAATTCTTGCTATATGTCTGAGCTTAGTACTATGCTACCAACTAGGGAGAGAAAAGAGTATAAGAGAAATTGTAGCCCTAGCTCAGGAGACTTCTCTTCTGTATTTTCCCATTTTTCCCTAACACCTAGCAGTATGAGGCAAAAGAAGGCACTTGAGACATATCTTAAACCAAATCAGACACAAAACAGTACTTGCTATATACCAAAATGCGTACATAACAGGAGGTCAGAGAGAATAATTAGTTCTGGAATAGATAAGGCTAAATTGAGGAGCAAGTCTGAGGAACAGAATAAACTAGTGAATGTAAAAGAATCAGGGGCAAAGAAAGGGAGTGGATTGATAATTATCAGGGGGAAAGAGGTGTGGGAGTGCAGGAAGAGATTGGACTAAAATCGTACACCTATGGATAGGGGAGAGGGGGTAAGGGCAGAAGGTGGGGTGGGAACTGGGTGGAAGGGAGCTATGGGGGGAAAAAGGAGAAACAATTGTAATAATCTGAGCAATAAAGATTAAATTAAAAAAAAAAAGAAGAGCAAGGAGATTTAAGTTGAACATTTATGATGGAATTTGGCTGAAAGAAAAGGAGGACATTCCCATAATGAGAACAGAATCAATAAAAGAAACAAAGAATTTCTGTGAGATGTCCCCCTAAAGAGAGTGGTTCTCAACTTCTGATGCAAAACAGAATCACCTAAGGAACTTTGCCAAAATACCTAGCCCTGGGCCCCACCCAGAAATTCTGATTTGGTCCTTCAGTGGGATTAGGGTAGGGCCTAGGAATCTGTACCAGTATGTAAATGGGGGTAGGTGGGGAGAGAAAATGTGGTGGTTAAGAGCAGGGGCTATCTGGGTTAGAATGTGGGCTCTACCTCTTACTGTGTGACTGAACTTGGGCATGTTCTAAACTTCTCTGTTTATTTATAAAATAGAAAAGCTTCCAGAGTATTATAATTTTATCAATATACCTCATAGCACCAAACAAGTTAAAGAACAAACTCACCAATCCCGAAATGCTCATTCCACATGGTATGCAGACCAATTGTTCCTTTAGACAAGTAATCCTTTAATTCATCAAATGGAATATTTATTTTAAATTCCACATCTTCTTGAATTCCTAGCTCCTCACAAAGTCTTCTCAGTTGGTTTACCCTAAATTCATCATCTTGGTTACGACAACCTCCAATGAGGACCAGTTTAAGTGAAGGAAGTGACTCAGTCTTCTTCATATTCAACAATTTAGCAAAGGCTCTGATCTGCAAAGGATGATTCTTTTCAGGCCTGAACTGGCCCACAGAAACCAGTAAATGTCCCGGGGCCATCTTTTTCTCCTCTAAGGGAATGTCCAGAAATGTATGCACATCACAAGGCGGATAAACAATGTTAGTGCAATGCCCAACCTTCCACAGTGAGAGAATATGGTTTAATGTCCAAGAAGAATTGACCATGACTATATCACTGCAGGAACCAACAAGTCCATACATAAAAGCAAATAAATAGTAATAGATGAGCTTTACTTTGCTGAGGAAAGGATTCCTGGTAATGAAGGTTGCATTATTAAATCTAGCATTTTGATTCTTCACTACAGAGAGCATGTCAGTGCTGATAGTGGGATAATGAACATAGCTTCCAACTCGGCAACCACCTAAATACTTAAACAGAGGAAGTGTGAAAGCATATCCCATTGAATCTATATAAATATCAGGAACACGCTGCATCAGAGCTTCCCAGCCAAGAAAGATGGACCCTAGACTTTGGCCCAGTAGTGTGAAGTAAGGATAGAGAGAATCTTCCACAAGGTAGCGTTTCCTTAAGAAAACAAACTCCACTGGGTGAATTAATCTGATGTTAAATCTTCTGAAAGCACCATCTAGTATTTGTTGACCGCTGACATTAACATCACCAGTATAAACAACATATTCTGCTGCAGGATACCTAAAATAGAATACAATAGTTAAGAATTTCATTAATTTAGATTAAAATCAAGCAAAAAGTTACAGGTTTTTTTTCTCACAATCAAAAGAATTTATTTTCAGACTAAAAGAATGTTTTTCACTCATTGCATTGTACTACTGACCTCATTTTTTTCCTGCCCTATAATTAAAATGTTAGTCCTTCAAATGAGACTTCTAGTTCTTTCCTATCTCCTCCACTAAGAATTTCCTAAAGAGCAGACAAAACAAAAACTGATTTATAAATGAGACTTTTTCTTTTTCAAGAAATATTAAAAATTTTATTTTGACAACTTGTTCAATATAAAAATGGTAGTGAAATATTGATAAAATAAATAAGTTAAATTTCACTAGAGATATTTGTAGATAGAATGGTAAATGCTAAAGCACTTCTCAGTGATGAGAAATGAAAAAGACTATAAAAACTAGATCTTGTGCTTGCATTACAATTAGATATATAATTATAAAGAAAATATGTAAAAGTATATAATCTTACCACTTTCAATGCTTTGGTCTCTGATTATATTTGTAATTATTCTGTAAGTCATAAAAACATATAGCATGAACTACTCGATTTTGGGAATTCAATGATGAAAGTCTTTACCCTCAAGGAACTCATCCCAGTGGAGAAAAGATATACAATATAAACCACAAAAATGAGTGATAGGTATTGATAAAGACAGCCATAGTACGGTATGTATGCTGTGGAAGTCTAAAGGAAGAGCATTGAACTGCTCCTCTCTATGCCCCTCCCAGCATCCAGAATGACCCTTTTAAAATGTAAAAAGGAATGTCATTTCTGATGGCTTAAAGATGGCCAGAAAGTCTTGCACATTTTTCGGTAAAGAGGAAGGATCTTTACCTTGGAATAACATTGGGCTCTGTGACTGCTTTTACCAAAAAAATATGGCAAAAGTGACACTTTTAGTTTCTGGACCTAGGCTATATAGCTTCTATTTCACTCTAGGAGAGTCAGCAGTCATACAAAAAGTCCAATTATCTTGAGACCACCATGCTGTGTGCAAGCCCAAGGTTGTCACACAGAAAGGCTGTCAGGTGACAGAGATGCCTGACAGACCCCAGCTGTGCTGTCATCTCAGCTCAGAAAACAGATGAGAGTGAAAGCGTCTGGGTGACTCCAGCCTCAGCTGCCATTTCACTGTAACATATGAGTATGAGGGATTCTAAATAGGTCCCATCGAACCCCCAAACTATGACAAATAATAAATTTTGTTTTAAGCCATTAAACGTAAAGGTAGTTTGTTATGTAACAATAGATAATCAGAATATCATCTTTCTGCTTAAAATTCTGGATGAAAACAAGGTTCTATGGAAAGTAACCTCACAGGTCGATCTGATTATAACTGGACAGTGTAGTCAGTCATGCTCCAGGCACATAAATTCTTTACTAAAAGACTTATCTTTGCCTTAAGTAAGCCTTGTCCATTGTTTCTGTGCATCTAGGCCAATGTCTGCTTTCAGATCCTTCCTTTTAAAACAGGGGTGGGGCTTGGCCAGTGTGGCTCAGTGTGGTTGAGCTTCAACCTGTGAACTGGGAAATCATGGCTCAATTCCCGGTCTGCAGTGAGCACAGGGGTGGGTCTAGGCCCATCTTCTGTGCCACTGCCTGGCTCCTCCTGCCATGGACCCCAGTCCCCTCTCTAGCGGCAGCCCTGTTCCTGCTGCTGCCACTCCCATGCGCTGATGGCGCCAACCCCACTCACACCTGCTGATGGCATGGAGTGCTTGGGGCCGGTGCCAGCAGCAGGTGTAAGCGGGGCTGGTGTCATCAGTAGGTGCAAGCAGTGGCTGCTGCCCCGATTGCCCCTCAGGAGCAGGAGTAGGTGAAGAAGTGGGACCAGCACTGGCAGCAGGTATGAGCACCAGGTGGGACTGTGGCACACAGGAGTAAAGAATTTTCAGTAACCACCAGAGGCTTGTCCTGATGACAGTGACCAGCACCCTGCCTTAGTCTGGCGCCCTTGCTCACCTGCTCCACCATCCTCCTGTGGCCAACGCCCGCCATGTTCAGCACACACGCCCTGGTGGTCAGCGCACATCATAGTGACCGGTTGTTCCACTGTTCAGTCTACAATGAGTGGCCAGATTATTATGATCTCTGAACACATAATAATCTGGCCACTCAGTGTACTTACTTCTCGAGTACCTCATTTATCTGTTATCAAAGATATTATAAATAGTGCATCTGATCAGTTTTCCCCTTTGCACTGGCTGATAGAAAGCTCAGGGCAAATAGGTGGTTGACCTCCAGCAAAAGTCTAGAATACTTTTGGTATCCATTTGAGATACAAATACACTGAGTGGCCAGATTATTATGTGTTTAAAGATCATAATAATCTGGCCACTCAGTGTATTTGCATATTAGCTTTTTATTATATCTATACTGATAAAAGGGTAATATATTAATTAGACTGGACATCTTCTGGGCAACCTTCCGTACGTCTTTCCAGACAAAGCCATAGTGGTGGGACCGAGGCAGAGGCAGTTAGGGTAATCAGGCTGGCAGGGGAGGGCAGTTAGGCAATCAGGCTGGAAGGGGAGGGCAGTTAGGGCGATCAGGCCGGCAGGCAGGTGAGTGGGTAGGAGCCAGCAGTCCCAGATTGTGAGAGGGATGTCCCTGTGGGATTGGGCCTACACTGCCAGTTGGATATCCCCTAAGGGGACCCGTATTGGAGAAGGTGCAGGCTGGGCTAAGGGACCCTCTCCCCCTGTGCATGAATTTTGTGCACCAGGCTTCTAGTAAGATAATGAACGCACAGTGACCGAAACGGTGAATGACCAGAGATGAGAAGGACCATGGCCCTAAGACCTGGCCAGCCCTTCTCCCCATTAGGGACCCCCACTCTGCAAACTGCCTGTGGCCCCTTGCCCCTGTTTCCCAGCTGGGATCCCCAACTCCAATCGGGGACATAGCTGGCCTGCAAACCGCCCATGGCCCCTCACACCTGCTGGCCCCACCCCCTAGTAGGTGCCCCTACCCTGATTGGGGGTGTAGCTGGCCTGCAAACCACCTGTGGCCCCTCACCTCTGCCTCTCAGTGGGGACCCCCACTCTGATCCGGGGCCCCCACCAGGGCAGACCAGCTGGCCCCCACCCATACACTAGGCCTCTATCCTATAAAAGGGTCATATGCAAATTGACCCTATGGGTGGAACGACCAGAATGACTGCTCGACCAGTCATTATGAGGTGCACTGACCACCTTTGGATCCCTTTCCTTGGCCAGCAGGCTCCAACTGCCTAACGGTGAACGGGGAACGGGGGGTGGGTGGCGGGGGGGGGGGGGGGGTGTCAGCTGAGGGCAGCTGGCAAAGATGGCCCGATTGCAGGCCAGGCCTAGGGACCATACCCAGGCCAGGCCTAGGGTCTCTAGTATATATAGATATATATATAGCAGGGGTGAGGAACGTCTGGCCTAAGGGCTGTATAAGGCCTGCAAAATCATTTAGTTTGGCCCTACCAAGGCATAAGGGGTCAGTTAAACATAGCAGGATAAGTTGATAATTTTGTATGGCCTGTGAATGATGTTATAAATATCCAAATGGTCTGTGGCAGAAAAAAGGTTCTCCACTCATTCTAAAGGGTAATCACCTCAAGAGAGCATACAATCTTGCTAACTACCCTGTATCTCCTTTTCTCCAACCTTCATATAATTTTTCTTAAGGTCCCCCTTAATTCCAAATGCATAAAAGAAACTGCAAACTGTCATTTCTTGGAAGCATTTGAAATCTTAACTCCCATCATATGTTAACAGTTTGGATGAAATAAACTCATAAAGATTCTCTAACGTTTTAGACATTTCTAACATTGACAATCCTAACCTGGTTCTTCATGGCACTTAGAATAAAATCTAATCTCCTTATCCTGTTCACTCAAGCCCTGTTTTCTGGGTCCTATGTCCCTCTGAACCCTCATCATCTACTTTCTCCCTTGCCAACCAGGGTTCAGCCAAACTGACAATCCTTTCTTTGAACAAGCCAAGCTCCTTCAGTCTTAGGGACTTGCAGTAGTTGTTCCCTTTGTTTTGAATTCTCGTTTTCTCATCTTCACTGTCTTTTCATAAGGCAGGCAGTGTAGCAAGTGGTTTAGAACAGGGAGTTCTAGTAACTCAGTTTCCTTGTCTATCAAATGAGAATAAGAGTAACAACCTCACAAGATTGTTAGTATTGAGTGAGCTAACATAAATAAAATGCTATTCAAACAATGCCTGGCACATAGGAAAAGCTCAGTAAATGTTAGTACTTTTGTCATTCAAAAGTATCTCCTTAAAGAACTTCCCTAATTGCTCAATCTAAGGTATCAAGTCACACTCATATTATCCTATTTTACTCCTTACCATTTGATATTTTTTTCTTTTTTTAAAAATATATTTTATTGATATTTTTACAGAGAGGAAGGGAGAGAGATAGAGAGATAGAAATGTCGATGAGAGAGAAACATCGATCAGCTGCCTCCTGCACACCCCCTACCGGGGATGTGCCCGCAACCAATGTACATGCCCTTGACCGGGATCGAACCTGGCACCCTTCAGTCCGCAGACTGACGCTCCACCACTGAGCCAAACTGGCTTCGGTGATATTTTTCTTCTTTGTTATCTTCTTTCAACTAAAATCTAAGGTCTGCAAGAGGGACTTGATCTATCTTGTTCACCACTTACTCTCAACTTTTTTACAGTGCTTGAAAGAGAGTAGGTCCCCAATAAATATTGCTAGATTAAATGAAAAGTATACTGTGCCTTATGCTGAGTCAGGAAAGATTTGTAGAAATTAACTGAAGATAAAAAGATTATTTCAGAAAAAATGGGAACACTATATGAAAAGATAAGGAATCTAGAGAAAGCACGATGTTCAGTATGCTGGAACAAAGTATATGTGAAAGCAGAGAGGAATGAGAAACAAAACTGGCAAGAGCAAGATGAAAAAGTATCTTCTGTGTCATACTAATCATCCTACCTAATAAAAGAGTAATATGCAAATTAACCATCACTCGCTACACTAACCAGCCACGCCCACCAGCCAATCTGAGTAAGTATGCAAATAAACCCAACCAAGATGGCTACAGCCGCAGAGAGCAAGAGGAGGCTTGGGTTTCCCAGGCAACAGAGGAAGCCAAGCTTTCCGCCTGTTCTTGCCCCCGTAAGACTCTACTCAAGGCTATAAAGTTTCAATTATAGAAGGTAAAAAAAATCCAAACGGAAATGGCTGCCACCTTGGAGCCAGCAGAAGGCTTGGCTCTGCTCCAGGCTACAAATTTTCAATTGTAGAAGTTAAATAAATTCCAGATACCAGGGCCTCCACTTGGGTTGCGAGAGGGCAGGCTGGCCTGAAAACCACCACAGGCCCCTTGCTCAGCCTGCCCCACACACCAAGGGAACCCCCACCCTGATCCGAGACACCTTTCAGGGTAAACCAGCTGACTCCCACCCAGGCACCAGGCCTCTCTCCTCTCTAATAAAAGAGCAATATGCAGATTGACCATCACTCCAACACATAATAGCTGCCCCCATGTGGTCAAAGATGGTTGCCCCCATGTGAACACAAAATGGCCAGTAGGGGAGGGCAGTTGGGAGGCACCAGGTCTACAAGGAAGGGCAGTTGGAGGCAATCAAATCTGCAGGGGAGTGCAGTTAAGGGTGACCAGGCCAGCAGAGGAGGGAAGTTGGGGGCAAACAGGCTGACAGGGGAGCAGTTAGGCATCCATCAGGCTGGCAGGCAGAAGTGGTTAGGGGTGATCAGGCCGGCAGACAGAAGCGGTTAGGGGCAATCAGGCAGAGGCAGGTGAGCAGTTGGGAGCCAGCAGTCCTGGATTGTGAGAGGGATGTCCAACTGCCTAAATGGGTGGTCGGACATCCCTCAAGTGGTCCCAGATTGGAGAGTGCACAAGCTGGGCTGAGGATACTCCCCTCTGTGCACTGGGCCTCTAGGAAATATATACTAGTACATGACTATAAATGTAAATGTAAATAAATAAATAAATAATAAATAAATACTTTGGAAGTGTGGTGGGGAAAAAAAGCCTAAAACATTAAATGACGTATAATACCATATTCTAACATGGTAACTTATGTAAGACTAGGCAACTGACAATGATAGCAGAATTAGAAGCAAACAGATGCTTCATTAAGATTATTTTGGGTATGTCACCATTGACTAAAAGTGCACCACATTACTTTGTTTATTATTTAATCTCTTCTCCACATACTCTGCCAAGATGAGAAGTTTTAAATTATGCCATAAAAGTGGAGATACTTTCCATTTTTTAAAAAGATATATATTTTTATTGATTTTTCTATAGAGAGGAAGAAAGAGGGATAGAAAGTTAGAAACATTGATGAGAGAATTATCGATCGGCTGCCTCCTGCAAACCCCTTACAGGGGATGTGCCCGCAACCAAAGTACATTCCCTTGACCAGAATCGAACCTGGGACCCTTCAGTCCGCAGGCCAACGCTCTATCCACTGAGCCAAACTGGTTTCAGTTATACTTTCTATTTTTTTTTATTTTTACTTACTTACTTACTTATTTATTTATTTATTTATTTTATCACAGCAACTAAATTCAATAGGATCTTATTAAGCAGATTGGCATATGAGAGAACTACCGGTATTTCTTTGTTGAAAAATAGTTTAAAAATGAATTCCTGGCTATAATAAGGTATTAGATAGATGATTTAAAAAAAAAAATGCTAATATAGCAAATTAGCTAAGAAAGATGCATACCTACTTTTTCTGCAGGGCCCTTAATGCACACCATAAAACTCTTTCTCCTCCTCCACCAGCATTGCAGTATGGATGAAAAAATGCAATCACCATTTGATCTTTCCCTTTTTTGCCGGTTGATGCTGAGTTTTTCTTTTTTCGTAGCAGCACTCTGATTATCCAAAGGATAAAGATCAAACATAAACATACAGCTCCACATACAATTAGCCCAGGGAAGAATAATGAATAAAAAAACCTGAAACAAGAGGGAAAAGGTGAAAATTGATATAATGCCCATTAAACAAAAATCTGACTACAAAGTAAAGTCTACTTTCATACATCTACTTTATATATTAGTAGAAGAGAGATGTTTTTGTAGCTTGTGAGTCTGCTAATGAAATACTCAATGATTAAAATTCCATTGCTACAAAATATCGTTACAAAAGTATAAAAGTCCCTTTTAATTCTAGTTTCCATAGTAATGTTAGCAATTTAATATTTCTTTTTAATTAGTAGTAAAAATCAATATTGAGCCATCTTTCTCCTAATTCAATATATCGTTAAAGCAGCAGTCGCCAACCGGTGGTCCATGAACCACTGGTGGCCCATGAGTTCCGAATGGTTGGCAACTTTCCGACCTCATGGATTAAAACGGATTGAATTATTAATCTCAACAAAACATTAGTAATAGCATCTGCCCCTTGAAATGATATGTAACCCCCCAAATGTGTTTTCTCTCTCTCTCTCTTTTAAGTAAAGTTTTATTTTTATTTATTTATTTTTTAAAATATATTTTATTGATTTTGTTTTACAGAGAAGAAGGGAGAGGGATAGAGAGTTAGAAAGATCGATGAGAGAGAAACATCGATCAGCTGCCTCCTGCATACTTCCTACTGGGGATGTGCCCCCAACCAAGGTGCATGCCTTTGACTGGAATCGAACCTGGGACCTTTCAGTCTGTAGCCTCTCTTCCTCTCTCTTTACAAATCAGTAAACTAGTCTGAGAGAGAGAGAGAGAGAGAGAGAGAGAGAGAGAGGGAGAGAGAGAGAGAGAGAGAGAGGGGGGGGAGGAGGAGGAGGAGAGGGAGGAGGAGAGGGAGGAGAAAAAGCAGCAGCAAGCAGCAGCAGCTGCTCTGTTTCACATCTCATCAAGGCAGCAGCGGGGGCCCTGCTCTCCAAGTCTCACAATGCCACCCAAGAACAACAAGAAGAAGAAAGATGCTGGAGTGTGGGCCAAAAAAGATCAAGACCCAGTGAACAAGTCCGGGGGTAAGACAAAAAGAAGTGGTCCAAAGGGCAAAGTTCTGGACAAGCTCAAGAACCTACTCTTATTTGACAAAGCATGTTACGTCAAACTATAAGGAAGTTCCCAATTATAAGCTATAATCCTCGCTATTATCTCTGAGAGACTGAAGATCCATCGTTCCTTAGCCAGGACAGTCCTTCAGGAGCTCCTTAGTAAAGGACTTATTAAATTAGTTTTAAAGCACAGAGCTTTTACTTTACACCAGACACCAAAGATGAATGAAATATTAGGTCTAGTAATAATTAATGTCGTTCTCTAATACTTTTTTAAATCGAATTTATTTAAACAATACAACAAAATTTAATCAACAATATAGTTGCCATTGTTTTCTACTACTTGTGCCCAACGCTCAGGAAGCATTTTAATCCCTCTGTTGTAAAATTCTCGTGATTTTGATGCAAAAAATTCGGTCAATGCATTTTTGAGGCATTCTTCATTATTAAATTTTTTTCCAAGAAGAAAGTTTTGCAAAGAACGAAACAAATGGTAATCGGAAGGGGCAATATCAGGAGAATATGCAGGTTGAGGGAGAACTTCCCATTTCAACTGGCGCAGTTTTTCAGCAGTGATTCTTGCAGTATGCGGTTGTGCATTATCGTGGTGAAGAATTACGCCCTTCTGATTAATCAGCGCGGGTTCTTTTTCTCTTAAAGTTTGGGCTAACCTTTCCAATTGGGCACTATACACTGCACTTGTAATGATTTGGTTAGATGATAAAAGTTCATAATGAAGAATTCCTTTAAAATTCCACCAAACACACAACATCACTTTTTTCGCATGCAAGTCAGGTTTTGGCATGGGCTGAGGAGTCTTATTTTTGTCCAACCACTGAGGCCGCCTTTTCAAATTAACATACAGCACTCATTTTTCATCTCCGGTAACAATTTGCTCTAAAAACGGCAAACCGTTTTGACGAGAGAGGAGCGAACTGCAAACTGTGACTCTGTGATTATGGTTGTTGTCGGTCAACTCATGAGGAACCCATTTTCCAAACTTTTGGACTTTGCCAAGTGCACGTAATTGATTGGAAATTGTTTTTTGTGAACAATTTAAAGTTGTCGCAAGCTCTTGTTGGGTAATTTGAGGATTTTGCACCAAAGAGCTTGAAGAGCTTCTTGATCAAAATTGGACACACGGCCTCGACCACTCTTGTCATCTAACGAAAAATTTCCCTCGCGAAATTTCTCAAACCAACGCTGGCATTTTCTGGCGCTAACTGCATCTTGACCAAGAGCACTACAGATGTTTTTTGCAGCCTCACTTGCTTTTCTTCCTAATTGGAACTCGTAAAGCATGCAGTGCCGAATATGCTCTTCATCCGCCATCTTCTTAGCCCTAGTTTTGCAACAAAAAACAAACCAAACACAAACTTTTTCAAGCAAAACTTGTTAATTGCACTTCACACGTTCTGTAGATACCACGTGTTTGAAAGTTATGTCAATACAAGTGAATGCCAAGCAAGATTTTAAACGACTGTTTAAAAACGACATTAATTATTACTAGACAAAGTCCAGGAAGCTCAGAGTCTTAAACAAAAGGAACCCAAAGAGGCCCACATCAAGACACATCATAATTAAAATGCCAAGGGTAAAAGACAGAGAGAATTTTAAAAGCAGCAAGAGAAAAGCAGTTAGTTATTTAAAAGGGATTACCCATAGGACTGTCAGCTGATTTCTCAAGAGAAACTTTGCATCTCAGAAGGAAGTGTCAGGAAATATTCAAAGTGATGAATAGCAAGGACCTACGACTAAGATTACTCTACCCATTTAGAATTGAGGGTAAGATAAAGAGTTTCACAGAAAGAAAAAGCTAAAGGAGTTCATCACTACCAAGCCAGTATTACATGAAATGTTGAAGGATACTTCCCCCCCCACTTTTTTACTTTTTCGTTAATCCTCACCCGAGGATATTTTTCCATTGATTTTTAGGGAGAGTGGAGAGAGAGGAAAGTCAGAGAAAAACATCAATGTGAGAGAAACATGTATCAACTGGTTGCCTCATACATGAGCCCTGATGAGGGCCGGGGCTGGGGAGGAGCCTGCAACCAAGGTAAGTGCCCTCGAATGGAATAGAACCTGGGACCCTGCAGTCTGCAGGCTGATGCTCTATCCACTGAGCCAAACCAGCTATGGCGGCTTCTCCTCCTTCCTCCTTCCTCCTTCCTCCTTCCTCCTTCCTCCCAACCCTCCTCCCTCCTCCCTCCCTCCTCCCTCCTCCCCCTCCCCTCCCCCTCCCCCTCCTTCTTCTTCTTCTTCTTCTTCTTCTTCTTCTTCTTCTTCTTCTTCTTCTTCTTCTTCTTCTTCTTCTTCCCCTCCTCTCTCTCTCTCTCTCTCTCTATTTTAATTGATTTTAGAGAAGAAGGGCGAGAGATAGAGACATAGAAACATCAATGATGAGAAAGAATCATTGACTGCTTGCCTCCTGCATGCCCACAGTGGAGACTGAGCCAACCACCAGGCATGTGCCCTGACCAGGAATTGAATTGTGATATCCTGATTAATGCTTTTCCACTGAGCCATGCAGGTAGGCTTGAACAGTACTCTTTAAGAAGAGGAAGAAAAACTCGGGGGGGGGGGGGGGGGCAATGGTAAGATATGTACACAGATAATAATTTAATTAAGAAAAAAAAGAAGAGGAAGAAGAAAAATATGAACAATAAAATGCAATAAAAACATTTCTATCAATAACTGAATCTAAAATAAAAAGAAATGAATAAGAAATCTAATGAACAAAATAAAATGGTGAATAAAATAGAATTAGAGGCATGGAAACATGGAAAAACTGAAGAATCTCTGAGGGAAGTAGGCAGGGCAGGTAGGAAGAGACACAGACAGTAGGGTGGTCAAAGCCTGGGGCATTGGAGGGTAGGGAGCATCTATAATGCACTCAACAATAAAGATTTAAGGTAATAAAAAGTAATAAAAAAGAGTGAACACTGAGTACAGAAAACAAAGCCAACCAGATGGAGGAAAGAGTTTGTGATATCCAAGATAGGAATCTAAAAATAGCAGAGAGGGAAAAAGTGAGAGACCTGAGTATAAAGAAAAATGGAAGAGTTCTATAAGAACTGATTCCATCAGAAAAAGCAATATTATAATTATAGGCCTTGTGGAAGAGAAAGAGAGGGAGCAGGGAATGGAGATTCTATTCCAACAAATAGTAGATGAGAACTTTCCAAACCTATGGAAAGAACTAGATCCTTAAATCCAAGAAGCAAAGAGAACACCTAGTTACCTCAATCCAAAGAGGCTGTCTCCAAGGAACTTGGTCTAAGACTGTCAAAAATTAAGGATAAGGAAAAAATTCTCAAAGCAGCCAGGGAAAAGGAAATGATATACAAAGGAAAACCCATCAGAATTTCATTTGGCTTCTCAGCAGAAACTCTACAAGACAGAAGAGAGTGGAACCAAATATTCAAACATCTGAAAGTTCGAAATTACCAGCTAAAATAATATATCCAGCAATATTATCCTTAAAATGGAAAGAAGAAATGGGACTTCCCCAGACATACAGAACTTGAGATATTTTATCACCAGAAAACCCCCATTGCAGTAAATATTCAAGGGAGTTATTCTACGTGAAACAAAGGACATAAAGACACAACACTATGAATAAATTATCAAAAAACTTACAGTTTAAACAGGGATAGTTTGTGACAACAAAAATATAAAAGAGAAGGGGGTAAAAGTCTAAACTGGCAAAGGAGGATGAAGATCAGATACACTCAAAAGAAAAAAAAACTGCTGAAATCAGTTTGGCTCAGTGGATAGAGCGTCAGCCTAGGGACTGAAAGGTCCCAGGTTTGATTCTGGTCAAGGGCATGTACATTGGTTGTGGGCACATTTCCTGTGGGGGTGTGTAGGAGGCGGCTGATGGATGTTTCTCTCTCATCCATGTTTCTAGCTCTCTATCTCTCTCCCTTCCTCTCTGTAAAAAATCAATAAAATATATTAAAAAAAGAACAACTGTAAACCTACTTTTGCCACACCCTGAATGTAGGTGTTAAAAGAATTGGTTGGGTAAAATAGACTAGGTCTCTCTGTTTTATTAGTTTACGTAAGGCGAGAAAATAAAATACAGTACTATATCAACAACAAATGTGGGGGGGGAAAGTCTAGTTTTTTTCACCCAAATGGTTTATAGTCTTTGTTTTGGATGGTAGCATTCTTGGCAGATTTTCATTTTTGCTATTTCCTAAATTTTCTATAAGAAACAGTTTATCATGTAATAAAGATAAATGCAATAATATTTTGTAGAACCATTCTTACGTTAACCAGAAATGAAAATCAATGGACGACCAAGAAGCAAGGGGCTCCCTGTAGCCGGTTGCTCCGTGGACAGAGCGCGGGCCCAGTTCTGAGGGTCCCCGGTGGGTTCCGTCAGGGGCACAGGCCCGGGCGGCGGCGGGCTCAGCACCGGTGCGGCGCGAGCAGGAGGCAGAAGCTCAATGATTCCCTCTCACTGTTGATGTTCTATCCCTTTCCCTCTCCATTCCTCTCCGAAGTCAACACAAACATATTTAAAAATAAAGGAGCAAGAGATTTAACATAAACTTCGTATTAAAATGACACACTAACAACAGTTTTGGTGAGTGAAAGAGGAGGACGAAGGCGTGAGAAATAAGATCCAATTAGCCGAAACCGGTTTGGCTCAGTGGATAGAGCCTCGGCCTGAGAAATGGAGGGTCCTGGGTTCGATTCCGGTCAAGGGCATGTACCTTGGTTGCAGGCACATCCCCAGGGGGGGGGGGGGGGGTGGGTGCAAGAGGCGGCTGGTCTCTCATCCGTGTTTCTCTCTATCCCTCTCTTTTCCTCTCTGTAAAAAATCAATAAAATATATTTTTTTTAAAAAGAAATCAGATCCAATTTTTCTTTATAAAAAAGACATCGACAAGACAGACTGGAAAAATGATTCGTGGCTTAATAATAAAGGAAAATGAGGCACAAATGTGAATAATTTGACAGATTAATTGGGAGTGCAAACAAGAGACACAAGAAGCTGAAACGGGGAGGGTAAGGACCCCTCAGTCAGCAGAGCGGCGGGGATAAGCTGAAATGCTTTGCACGGGTCTTTTTTAACCCAGTCGGCTTCAGTCTACGGAGAAGACCCCGAAGTGGAAGAGCCGCTCACGGGACTTAAGAAAATAGCGTAGATTCGTGACAAAGAAAGCCCTTCCCTGCAAACTCCAGGTGCCTGGGCGGACACCACCACCGCGACACAGAAACCTGCGAGCCCGCGCAGACCCCTCACCTCAGTAACTCGCACCACCACCAGCCCCTCTCGGCGGCCGCCATCTTCAGTAGACCCGGCCCTCAGGAAGCACTCCGCTATTGTTCTTCTCTATTGGCTACTGAGGTGTTCCTCCGCCTCCACGGGGCTGGATGTGCGTTTCTATTGGTTGGTGGTGGCGGCTTCCCACGGCCGTGAAGCCAATAGCGCTTCCCGGGGCGGAGTCAAGTGCTCTGCCTGTGGAACACGGGTCCTGCGCTCATGGGCGGAGCTGTGGCGGGGGGCGGGCCTGGAGGGCGTGGCCTGTGATGGACAGGCTGCTGCCCCGCCCAGGGCCCCTCCCTCCCCGGGTGTCCGGGCTCCCGTCCCGGAGCCTGTCACCCGTTGGAGATAAACGGGACGCTCTGGCGCGTCTCGGATCGATTTTCTCGGTGCGGAGTCCACTCCCGAGTGAGGCTCAGACGCGGGGCTGCAGAGCGGACCTCACGCGGGCGCCTGCACCCCTCACCGCCGCCGCCGCGGTGGGCGATCCTGAGGTCTCCGTCTCCGGCGAGGGTCTGCGCGGCTCGCCCGCCCTCCCTGCCTCCCCTGCACGTGTGGAGCTGAAGACTGGACCGAAGCGCACCAGCCTGAGGTAGCGGAGACCGGGAGGCCCCTGCAGGGGCTCGACCCATGTCTCTGAGGCGTCGGCAGGCCGGCCTCCGGGGCGGAGGGTGAGGGTCCGAGACCCACCTTCCCCTCCCGCTTTCACGCCCGCGTCCCCGAGGGCCGGGGGTGCGGCGACACGCGACTCTGAAATAGGCGGCGGGGTGAGGGCAGCCGATCCCCTCGTCCGAGATGCTGGCTTCGGTTCCCGGACACCGCCTCCTGTGAGAGCCGAACCGCAGAGATGCCATCCACACCCGGCTCCCCGGGTTTTAACTCCGCGCTTCTTTTCCACGCACTAGGTGACCTCTGGGCTCCGGGCCGGATCGCAGAAGAAATAGGATTCTCCGGGACAAGATGCCTGGACAGGAGAGACAGGTTACAGCCAGAGAAGGGGCCGGCAGGAGAGTAAGTTTGCCGCCCCTGCGCGGTGTGGGTGCGCCTCACCCCGTGGCCGGACCACGGCCACCTGCTCCCCTGCCCCCTGACTCCGCTCCCGAGGAGGCGGCGCGGGAGCCCACCCAGAGGAGTCCTGTTTGTGAGGAGAGCGCTCTTCAGAAAGGGAATGCCATGGCATTAACTGATTTGTAGGAACAATTTAAAACCCAGCACTTTTCTCTTCTCCTTATGCTGGAGAGGTGAAGTGAGCGTTGAGTTGCTGCTTAAGAGCCCTATTTACTCAAGATGATTAAGTTAATATAGTATATTAACGAAATATTGTTAACAATATATTTTTGAGAAGTTATTCAGAGTTGATCTATATCTATATCTATATCTATATCTATCTATATATCTATATCTATATCTATATCTATACCTATATATATATCTCGAGGTCCTGCAACATTTTTAAGAACTATTTTTAATTATTTTAATTACACAAGTAATGCACTAACACAGCCTCTTAAAATGGACACAGTGCAGAAATATTTAGCATGGAAAGCAGATCAATTTTCTAATTCTTTTGTATTCATGTACATATGTTTTCATTCATTCAGCAGATATTTATTGAAAACTACCAAGTTTCAAGCAGTGTTGAAGAGCTGAAAATACAGTGTTAAATACATATTAATGTATATATGTATGTCCAGAGAAATATTTAAGTTTTATATGTGCAGTTTTAAAATTTTTGTTTGTTTTACATAAATGAGATCACATAGTGTGTATTCTCCAAGCCCCCTTCCCTCCCCTGCCAATATAACAATATATTTTGGAGATTGTTTCACATTAGTACATATGTGTCTGTTGTATCCAGTTTAACCTCTACATAGTATAGATACTGTATAGTGTGTTATTATTTCCCTGTGAGTGGACTTTCTGGCTTCTTTTTTTCTTTTCCCCTCACAAGTCAGGCTGTAGTCCCTGTGCATGCTTTTTAATGCTGACACAAGTCTTTCTTTAGCATAGAAATAAGCCTGGTTTGCTGGTCTATCTTGAAATTAATTAAACGTTATTGTATGTCCTATTGTGAAATTTGTCTTGGTTTTGGTGGTGTGGATGGATTGATGGGGTGGGTAGTCTGGTCAATAGGAGATTCTTAGTATGATGACTTTGTATTAAATGGAGGTGTGAGGAGAACACATTTGGGGAGGGGTGGCTTGTACAGAGTAGGGCAGCCTTCCAACCTCCTGCATGCCCCCACTCTGTACCCATCGGAAAAATCTTTATCCTTCCAGATCAAGCTTAAGACCTGTCTCTTCCTTGAAACTTTCTTTTTTTCTTTTTTCCTTGAAACTTTCTGTAACTGCCTCTGGCTATGTTGACCTCACCCTCTTCTGGATTCTTTTGATAATAGTATTATCCAACATAACAGCTTAATGTGTGCTAGGCAATGTTAAATACTTTATTTTCCTCTGCGTACACTCTTTCTCATTTAACCTTCACAAAACCTTTTGATGTAGGTAATATTTTCATGTTGTCACCATTTATTCAACCATTTTTTTTTTTTTTTTAGTATCTACTGTGTGCCAGGAATTTTAGGCACTGGGGATCCAGCTAGGACCAAGACCCTACCCTCAGGAATTTATATCTTAGTAGGAGATACAGAAAAGAAAGAGAATAAGCAAATATGATAGTCCTACCTTATCCACAATTTTACTTGCCACAGTTTTGGTTACCTGTGGTCCAAAAACATTAAATGGAAAATTCCAAAAATAATTTATAAGTTTTAAATTGTAAGCTATTCTGAGTAGTGTATGAAATCATAAATCATCCTGATCCCTCTACTGGGATGCGAATCATCTCTTTACCCAGCCTCTCCGTGCTGTATTTGCCAGTCATTTGTCAGTTAGTAGCTGTCTTGGTTATTGGTACTTGTGTTCAAGTAAGCCTTATCCTATATAATGAAAACCTAGGTGGCTTCATGTATGATGTCATTACAAGATGGCCACCATATGATGGCTGCCCTCACGTCACAAGATGGCTGCCACAATATGGCCATCACAAGATGGCCAGTAGGGGAGGGCAGTTGTGGATGATCAGACCTACAGGGAAGGGCAGTTGTGGATGATCAGGCTGGCAGAGGAGGGCAGCTGGGGGCACCAGGCCTGCATGGGTGGGCAGCTGGGGGCAACCAAGCTTGCATGGGAGAGCAGTTGGAGGTGACTAGGCCTGCAGGGAAGGGCAGCTGGGGGCAATCAGTCCATGGGGGGGATAGAGGTGGGGAGGGGAGTGTGCAGTTGGGGGTCGATTAGGCCAGCAGGTGAGCAATTAGGTGTTAATCAGGCCAGCTGGGGAGCGATTAGGGGGCAATCAGGCTGGCAGGCAGAAATGGTTAGGGACAATCAGGAAGGCAGGCTGGTGAGTCGTGAGGAGCCAGCAGTCCCAGATTCTGAGAGGGATGTCTGACTGCTGGTGTGATTGGGCCTAAACGGGCAGTTGGACATCCCCCAAGGGGTCCTAGATTGGAGAGGGTGCAGGCTGGGCTGAGGGACACCTCTCCGCCCACCCCCCAGTGCACACATTTTGTGCACTAGGCCTCTAGTTTTACTTAATAATGAACTCAAAGCATAAAAGTAGTGATTCTGGAAATTCTGATATGCAAAAGTGGAGCTGTAAAGTGCTTCGTTTTTAAGTGAAGAGTTGAATATAGTACATTAAGGTATTTTTTATTTTTTTAAATGAATTTTTAAAATGTATTTTTATTGATTTTTAGAGAGAGAAGAAGGGAGAGGAATAGAGAGGTAAAAACATCAATGACAGAGAAACATCATCCATTGGCTGCCTTCTACTGGAGATTGAACCTGAAACCTGGGCATGTTCCCTGACCAGGAGTTTAACTGTGACCTCTTGGTTCATGGATCACTGTTCAACCACTGAGCCACACCAGCTGGGCCTATATGGTATTTTGAGAGGGAGTGAGAACATTCACATAACTTTTATTTTAACTTATACTAGAGACCCAGTGCATGAAATTTATGCACGGGTAGGGTTCCTATGCCTGGGTGGCTATCAGGGCCAATCTGTGGGGCAATCGGGGGATGGGGAAAGCCCTGCTGGCACCTGCTTTGGCTGGTCTTGGCTCTGCGGACTAGGGGTAGCTCCTGCATTGAGCGTCTGCCCCCTGGTGGTCAGTGTACATCATAGCGACCAGTCATTCAGTCAATTTGCATATTAGGGTTTTATTATATAAGACTAGAGGCCTGGTGCATGAAATTCATTACAGTTCAACTCCTGGGGTTAAAATGGTGTTCAGACATCCCTCTCACAATCCGGAACTGCTGGCTCCCAACCACTCGCTTGCCTGCCTGCCTGCCTGATTGCCCCTAACCACTTCTGACTGCCAGCCTGGTCACCCCCTAACCACTCTCCTGTCAGCCTGGTCACCCCCAACTGCCTTCCCCTGCCGGCCTGGTCACCCCCAGCTGCTCTCCCCTGCCTGACTGGTTGCCCCCAACTGCCTTCTCCTGCAGGCCTGGTCCCCCACAACTGCCTTCACTCCACTGCAGGCCTGGTTGCCCCCAACTGCCCTCCCCTGCTGTCTTAATCATCTACAACTACCCTCCCCTGCCTGCCATCTTGTGGCAGCCATCTTGTGACCACATGGGTGTGGCCATCTTGTGTGAGGGTGTGGCGGTCAACTTGCATATTACTTCTTTATTATATAGGATTGTTATAATTGTTCTACTCTATTATTAGTGTTGTTAATATCTTACTGTGCCTAATTTAAAAATTAAACTTTATCATATGTATATATGTATAGGAAAAACATAGCAGATAGGGTTCAGTACTATCCAAGGTTTCAGGCATCCACTGATGATCTTGGAATGCATCCTCTGTGGATAAGAGGAGACTGCTATATTGTTATTTCTGTACTGATAAGTACTATGCAGTAAATAAATCAGGTTAGGGGCATTAGGAATGACATGGGATGGGGCGATACTATTTTAAGTAGATGCTAAGGGAATTCTTCTCTGAGGAAGTGACATTTGAATAGAAACCTGTGTGACAGATTTGGGAGAAGTGTTCTAGGAGGCAGAGGTGTCAAGATCCTAAGTCAGGAGTGACCTAACTGATGAATAGG